ACAGTGGTCCCACAAGATTATAATGGAGCTGCCCTATACAGGTGTACTATTTTTTATCTTGTAGCCATATTTTTACTGCACCTTTTCTATGTTTAAATACAAAAATACCACTGTGGTACCACTGCCTGTAGTATTCAGTAGTATAGTAGCATGCTGCACAGGTTTGTAGCCTAGAAGCAACAGGCTATATCATCTAGACTAGATGTGTAGTAGGCTAGACTGTCTAGGTTTGTGTAAGTGCACTCTATGATGTTCATATAATGATGAAATTGGCTAACAATGCATTGCTCAGGACACATCCCAGTCATTACGTGATGCAATACTATACAACATTCACTTAGACCTCATCATCCCATTTCTAAGAAGTTGTCTTAAGAAACAATCAGAGTTGAGATGCATCTACAAATTTAAGAAGTGATGCTGAAATAATTACTTAAATTATTCAGCAAATTATATAGTCTTTCCACATTATGTTTCCAAAGAACTTTTAATAGGATGAGAAAATGCACCTGTTATAGTATTAGTGAGAAAAAAAATTCATTAAAAAACACATTTAACATGATTCCAATTTTATCAAGCAAAACTAGCAGGAAACATACCCCAATTTCATGGTGATTTTCTTTGGGTAGGGGGATTACAACAGGCTTTTATAATGTTAATTTTCATTTTTTCTTGTTCTTTATTTCTTCTTAATCCGAAAAAGAATAATTTAGTGAATATGGGTGGCATAAGCTTGAGAAATAATTGATGATTTGAGTTACCCTCTTATCATCATATAGAAACAGGGTATTATCCTGAACAGGGGCCATGTGGGGCATGTGGGTGAGTGGAAGGGGATGAGGGACCCTGGAGCGGAGGAGTCTGTATCCCTCAGTGACAGTGACTGCTGCCACTCAACTATGTCAACCATCACTATGCAGAGATCTGACATAGACTGAGTGTTGTACGTCTTTTAGATCTCTTTTTTTTTTTTTAAAGAAAAGTCAGAAATTTAGATTGCTATGGTGATTTACCACACTGATATGTGTGGGTCAAATAAACCACTTATGCCACCTGAATCCAGCTTCCCAAGTCACTGATTTGAAATGCCTGCTCTAGAGCCATGTGATTTTGGTGCTGAAATTATAGCCGCAGATTGTCTAGTCCAGCTGCTCCTCCAATTTTTTTTTTTTTTTTGAGACAGAGTCTAGCTCTGTTGTGCCCAGGCTGGGGTGCAGTGGCACAATCTCAGCTCTCACTGCAACTTCCATTTCCCAGGTTCAAGCAATTCTCCCACCTCAGTCTCCAAAGTTGGTGGGATTATATTTTTAGTAGAGACGGATTTCACCATATCGGCCAGGCTGGTCTTTAACTCCTGACCTCAGGTGATCCGTCCACCTCAGCCTCCAAAAGTGCTGGGATTACAAGTGTGAAGCACCATGCCCGGCCTAGCTGCTCCATGTGATTTTGATGTTATGAAATGCCTTTATCCACAGTCACACAACTAAGTATCAGCAGAGCCGAAACTGGAGCAAAGAGGGGTTGTTGCTTCTCAGACCAGAACTGACCATTGTACCTCTCCCCTCCTATAGCTTTCTCCATCTCAGAAAACTGGTGCCAGCACCACCCCAGGTGCCCAGGCTGAGTGTTCTCTTTGGTACTCATCACACATGAAGACCCAGCAGGCCTCCCCTTTAAATATATCTTGTCTTCATCCTGTTTCCCTCTCTTTCCATTGCTATCCTCTAAGTCTAAGCCCCCATTACCTCTTGCCAGGCCCATATCAATAGCTTCCTAACTACTCTCTGGTCCTGTCACTCTTCTGCTTAAAACTTTTATTGGTTTAAAAAAGAGTAGGTAAGACCCTGCTCCACTCCTACCTCCCTCTTGAGCTCATCTTGTATCCCTCTCCCCTTTACTATAGTCTTTCAACTCCTCCAACCTGCTGTCTTCCTCCCACCTTGAAGGACTTTGTCCATGCCTCCCTACCTGTCTGACATTCTCTGTTCACATCTCTCCATGTTGTTAATTTCAAAGAATCCCCGTGGTCTCTGAATAGTGCTGGCCCATCCTAAGTGCCATGTATGTGTCAGCTGTTGTGATTTTTACTGTTATCATCTCAGCCCAAATGTCACCTTCCTAGGTTAGGTCATCCTGTGATTCTCCTTCATAGCAATCGCCACCGCCACAGTTCAGTACCCAACTGCCCTTATTTGTTTCCCAGACACTGCTTCCTTGAGACTCCAGGGCACCTCAGGACAAAGACTGAGTTGGTCTTGTTCAATCCTCTATATCCCCAGTGGATGTCAGAGTGTATTTATAAGCACTCAGTAAATATCAGTTGACTGTTGCTGAATAAATGCTTACATCTGTACAACTGTGTAAACTCTAATGTCCAGTGGAGCCTTCAACCCCACTACCACTTGGCCATGTTCAGATGAGGAAACTGAAGGTCAGGGGGTCATAAGTGACCATGGGTCTGTGGCTCATGAGAACATAAACTCCTACCCCTGAGGCCTTAGCATGGTGCCCTGGCCTGTGCTTCTGGTTCTACTGGCTGGGCGAACAGTTACTTCTGCTGCTTCCCGTTCAGAGTTGGTCAACATATATATTTTTCAGTGGCAGGAAGTCTTGCCCGAGGTGGGAATGTTACTGGGTTAACAGCTGGGAGAAAAAGAAATATTTTTCCCTTTGTTAGCTGGCTCTGGGCAGCCTGAAAACTCTTGATCCTCACTGTCTGCTGCTTGGGACATAATGACCTGCTTTCAATCCCTTTCAATTATGGGATTTCTGATAGGAATTTGGAAAACAATCTAAATCCCAAAGCTTGGATGGTAGCCCAAGTTTCATTCCACGTCTCTGTACCCAGTTTTTCAGAGAGATTATTTTTCACCTGCTTCTCAGGCAGAGCCTTGTCCTCCACACCTCCCATTACTCCCAAATTCCCTGCCTGGGGACTGTCCAGCCATGCTTCTTTCTTGATTTCCTCACTGGACAGAAGCCTCCCTTTTGCCTCTCATGCTGGGCTATGTTTTTCAGTGCTGGTGGTTGTCCTGAAGCAGTCCTTAGCGGGTGAAATACTTGGGCTGGTGTCTAGGGAGAGGCAGCCATGGGCAGGGGCCTGGGAGTGAGCAAAGCCAGGTTTGAATGCTTGCTCTTCCTTGTGTTAGCACTGGGGCCTTGGGCAACTGATCTAAGATCCCAAGCCTCAATTTCCTTAACTGCGAAATAGGAATAATCATTTATATCTTTTGGGATTTGTGGTGGAAACACCCAGCACATAATAGGCAATTTTTAAAATCATTTTCTTTTCTTGCCTAACTTTTGGTAGGACTAGGGATAGTTGGGTAGCAAGTACATTGAACATTACAGTGATGGGTTAGAGAAGGGAGGGTCTCTGAGGAGACTGGGCAGCTGAGAAGTCTAGTCTAGGTCAGAGGCTACAGCAGTCTCTGGCCTTGCTGTGTGTCAGTGTGAGTGGAAAGTGAATGACTTCTGGACATTGGAGCCAGACAGACCTGGATCAAATCCCAGCTGTGCCACCTAATGGCTGGGTGACTGTGGGGGATTCAGCTGCTCTGAGCCTTAGTTGCTGCATCTATAAAATAGGGGCTCCTGTGTCCAGGGTACAATGAGGATTGGAATAAGATACAGAAAGCCATTCATTCTGCCCAGTGACCTTTACTCTGTGATCTTCTCCTGCTCTAAAGGAATGGGGCTACTCTGCCCCTGAGTTTGCTCAAGGGAATCTCCTGGGGAGGAACAAATAGGAACTGGAATTCTTACCTGCTTTGTTTCCTAAATAACAACAATTACAGCGGCTTCTCTTTATTGGGCACCAAGTGTTCTTAGTGTTTTTTAATAGTGAGGAGACTACAGCCCAGAGGCCGTGACTTGTCCAAGGTCACCAAGAGGGTCGAGGAGAGAGCTGGACTGTCTGGTCCCCATTATGGACTGAATGTTTATGTCCTCTCAATAATCATGTGTTGAAGTCCCAAATTCTAATGTGATGGTGTTAGGAGATGGGGCCTTTGGGAAGTGATTTATCATGAGGGCAGAGTTTTCATGAATGGGTTCTCAGTGTCCTAATAAAAGAGGCCCAAGAGAGATCCATCTCCCCTTCCACCCTGAGGAGATATAGCTATCTATGAACCAAGTGCCATCTATGAAGCAAGGAACAACCCTTCACTAGACACTGAATCTGCTAGTGCTTTCATCTTGGACTTCCCAGCCCCAGAATGATGACAAATAAATTTGTTTCAGCCTCCCAGTCTATGGTATTTTTGTTACAGCAGCAGAAATGGATTAAGACACTCATACAGCATATACTCTTTCCTCACACCAACCTCCTCTCTGACTTTCTTCCCACCACTCTGAGCCTGGATTCCTGAGGCTCAGATGGACCTGAGCCAGCTGTTATGGCCTTATTTGGATGGAGTCACTCCCATGGGAGCAGCATTTCACCCCCTTTCCGTGCACTCAAGAGCTCCTTCCAGCTCTCAATGCCCCCAGTTTACTAACTGCACTGTCCCCAGCAGGTCAGTCAGGCAATATCAGGAGGTGGTAGTGGTAGGAATTCTCCACCTTCCCTGCATCCCTCCACCAGGTGGGAGCTGTGGCAGGCACAAGGGCTGATCAGGTGCTCCCAGGAAGATAGGGAGGAAGAAGTTAAAGATGATCAAGAGAGGGTGCCAGGGGACAGTTCTGATTCTAGGGCAGAGGTCAATTTATCTTCATCTCTTCTGCCCACATGGGAAGCAAGGGCTCACGAGCCTGCCCCCTATAAATGGGAGAGAGACGTCCATAAACATCACACTTCAGAGGCAGAGGCTGGACTGGTAGGAAAGAGGAGGTGACATTGAATTTGAGCCCCAGAGGACGGGGAGGCTGTGGGCTTAGGCTGCTGGGAAAGTCAAAATGTGACGAAGAGGGAGCTCCCGGTGACGCATTTGTGGAATAAGCCCCTCCTTTAAAGCTTGGTTTCTCAGTCCATGCTTGCCTCCCTTTTTTCTCTCCTACAGAACGTCACTCCTCTGCATTCCCCTCCCACTCCTGCAGTCTCACAGAGACGAACCAGTGGCCTTGCTGGGTGCCCCGGTCCCTTCCCTGGGCTCTGTGGAACATCAACACAGCTTGATTCAATATCAGCAAGAAGACTACTGCCAGGACAGTGCTGTGCTTGTCAGACTGGCCAAGAGGAGGCCACACATGAAGACTGAGCAAGAGGCAGCCAGTCACCCTCTTGAGCTCCTGGGTAAGGGAGAACTTCCCTTAGCAGGTAGATCTGGGAAGGAGTAGCCAGAGACATGGGCTGCCTTTACTTTTCTGGGAAACTTTAAAAAGAAGCCAGATGTTTGCGTGTCCGGTAGTATTTAGGTAAGGTCTTGATTAACAGAGGAGAAATAGATGTTTGCCTTCCCGGAAAATATGGATACTTCTACATCCACCCTCACATAATCTCAGGGCATTTCAGTGAAACAGATGAGGGCGAAGCCTAGGATTGGGAGACTTTGCAGGGAGTATCCCAGATCAGAAGAGAATGAGCAGAAAGTAGCTATGGGGGAGGAACGCTTGGCTAAGCCACCTTCAGAATCTTGTGAGCTGGCTTAGTTCTGGGAGGGGAGAGAAAGGGCCAAGTATAAGTGAGGCGTGGGGTAGAGGGAGAGGGACAAACAGGAAGAAATGCAGCCACATGCTAAGATGCCCACAATAAGGGCAGAGTCTAGGCCCTCACCATGTTCTCTGAAAACTGTCTCTCACTTCCATCCACGGAATGAGCTCCTGGAGTGAAAGTTTATTTTCCCTGGACTTCAGACCCTGGCTATAGCAGGTGGGACCATGGTTGGACCCTGGAGTCATGCGGGCCAATCAGATCATCTCTCTTGAAGATTTGGAACAAAAACAGGAAAACAATTGGGGCAATTGATAGCCTTGCAGGAAGGAAGTGATTTTACTCTAGATCTGGTGTGGTCATTGTTTTTTGTCATTGTTGTTTGTTTGTCATTGATAAGGAAAAGAAAAAAAAGGCACACACACAAAAGATGCTTTACAGAGAGAAAAAAGAGAGAAGCGGACATACAACCAAAGAGTCTTAATGCAACACACAAGCTAGTAGGTCCTTCCGTTCAGAAACTGCTAGGAACACCCACTGCCTGGTCCAGAGGATCTGAGACTCCGAGCAGCCTGGGAGGTGGGGAAGCCCTCAGAAGCCACCTCTGCATCCCCGTCAGCCTGCTGGAGCTCAGAGGATGGCCAGCGGTTGATCCTCTACTCAGAAATGACCTTTGCTTTCTTCTGCACCATTTCTGACTCCAGCACAGCTCATCAATTAGCTGCGTTTAGGCCCTGGGACAGCAGACCCAAGCCTCCGATACAGGCCACTGACAAGCGCGCTGTGGGCTCCAACCACCCCGGAGGCCTTGTCATTTGTGAAAGACCCACGTGCTTTTCTGTCTCCACTGCCTCTGCTTTGTCTGCTTGATCTGAACCGCGAAAAAGGACAGCCATTCTTTAAAGTTCAGCTCACGTGTCACCTACTCTTCTGAAGACTTTTCTAGCTTCCTCAGGCATAATTAGTCATAATTAGTTCCACTCTCCCATCACTTCCCAAAGCTCTTTTTTTGTAGGTTCTGCCATTGTGGCATTTTTCGTATTTTATTATACATACTTGATATTTCAGTTACACTTCAAAATACAGATGTACTACATGTTTTCGGTATAAAGTGAAGAAAAGAATCCCTCTCCCCCTCAATTCTTTCCAGCACCATTTCCCAAAGCTAATCACAATTAGTAATATATTTGGAGGGCTTCCAGAAACTTTTATGTATAAGTAAGTATACATAAGGATGGATGGATGTACAGTAGCCCCCTTATCTGAGGGGGGATACATTCCAAGACCACCAGTGGACTTCTGAAACCCCAGATAGTACTGAACCCTATATATACACTTCGTTTTTCCAATTACATATATACATGAAGTTTAATTCATAAATTAGGCACAGTAAGAGATTAACAGCAATAACTAATAATAAAATAGAACAATTATAACAATACGTCAGCATCACTACCCTTGTGCTGTGGGGCCATTATGAAGTAAAATCAGGTTGACTTGAACACAAGCCCCATGACACCACCACTGTCAATCTGATAACTGAGATGGCTGATAAGTGACTCACAGGCAGGTAATGTAGACAGCATGAGTACAGTGAACAAAGTATGATGCATATCTTTGGGAGGACAGAGCTGGACAGCATGAGATTTCATCATGCTACTCAGAGCAATGTGCAACTGAAACTTTATGAATTGTTTATTTCTGAAATTTTTCATTTAATGTTTTTTGAACTGAGATTGGGCTTGGGTAACTAAAAACTGGGAAAAGTAAAATCGTGTATAAGGAGGACTAACCTGTATAGGCAGTTATTTGACGCAAATGGGGTAATATAATGTTATTTTTCTGTAACTTGTACTTTTTTTGCTTTTTCTTTTCTTTCTTTCTTTCTTTCTTTTTTTTTTTTTGAGATGGAGTCTTGCTCTGTCACCTAGGCAGGAGTGCAGTGGCGCAATCTTGGTTCACTGCAATCCCTGAATCCTGGGTTCAAGTGATTCTCCCACCTCAGCCTACCGGGTAACTGGGATTACAGGCGTGTGCCAACACACTCAGCTAACTTTTGTATTTTTAGTAGAGATGGGATCTCACCATGATGGCCAGACTGATCTCGATCTCCTTACCTCAAGTAATCCACCTGCCTCGACCTCCCAAAGTGCTGCGATTACAGACGTGAGCCGCCATGCCCGGCCTGTAACTTGTACTTTTATTGAACATCTTTATTTTTGTAGAAATGTATATCCTGTTTCCATTAATGTTCTGTTGGCTATATTTGGTTGAAATATGTCATCTTATTTTATTCTCTTTTTTAAAATAAAATGTTTGTTTTCTTTTTTTGCTATATTTTTGTGGTTTCTTTGTTTTGTTTGTGAGCCTTTTTTTTTCGTCTTCTCTCTTTCTAATGGTTTGGAAGGTTTATAGTCTAGTTTTTATTCTTGAACTGGTTAGTATTATACTTTAAATAGTATACTTAAACATCTATTTCTTAATTTATCAATTTTATTCTATATCCACAGACTCTCGAGTATGAAAGATGTAGAAACTGGGGCAAGTATACCTTTCCACATATCCCTTCCTCTGCCACAGAGAAGCCATTTCTTTTTATTCTCTATGGTTTAAGATATTTACCTTCTGTTTTCTAACCAGGAGCCCCTCAGCTGTTTAGCCCTAGTTTTGTATTTAAATAAATACAATGTTTACCATCAATGAATGCTTGCATTCTATAACTTCTCTATTCCTAAATTGATAATATTGATACAGTTGACTCTGAAACAGGGTTGAACTGTGTTCACTGACTCATAGGTAGATTTTTTCCAATAAATACAGTTGGCCCTCCATGTCCCTTAGTTCTGCCTCCACAGCTAAAGGCAGATGAAAAAGATGGTATTTTCAGGATATGAAACTGTGTATAGTCAGGACCAACTTTCTGTAGCCACAGGTTCCAAAGGGCCAACCGTGGGTACTAAAGTATGCACGAATTTTGGTATATGTGGGGGTCCTGGAACCAATCTCCCATTGATACTGAGAAATGACTATTATTTTGGGGGGCACTAGATTTCATGATCAAGTTGTCCACCTCCTCTGTTGAACTTATGAGTGCCAAGCACTATTTTCTCTGAGTCTGTGTTGGTGAAGAATGCCTTTCAGCTACTTTATACATGAAAGTTAACCAGACTGGCTATTACATTTGAAAATGTGCTTATTATAATACCTTCAGAATTTTGTACCTGTTCCTTTTGGCACTAAAAGATAAAGAGAAGTTGGAGGCCAGCCTTATTTTTCCTTCAGAATTTTGATTGAACATTCTCCATCAAAGTTCCATGATATATTAAGACCATTTTTAATTCTGTAGAGGGAATTCTTTCATTCAGGAAAGTTTTCTTTTATAGTGTCTTTGAATATGTTTCTGTCCCATTGCTCCGTTCCTTTCTTTAGGAATACCTAGCATGCATACTCATATTTCATAAGTATTATTTTTAATTATTTTATTTCATTGTTTTTATTATTTCTCTATCAACTGAATAAATTCCACATTTTGCTGATGCTAATTTTCTCCTCTGTAATGGCTTTCATTATCATTTTCATTTTTCATTCCATGTTAGATCTTCTCTGCTTGTTTGTAGTTTTACTTTGGAAATGTCTTGTTCTGGTCTGTTATTTTCTCAGGCATGGGGTCGAGCTGGGGCTACCAGCAAATTCTGCTTGAGTATGGTGTCTCAGAATTTCTTATCAGATATGCTTGTCCCTGGGACACATTTTCCCTGGGTTTTGAAGCATTCCCATGAGTATGAGATCAGTGTGGATCACCAGAAAGGACCATAGCTCCATAGTCCTCTTACTGGTCATTTAATGTTTATACGTCTCTTCTGCTAACAAGCTGCAACATTGACTGCTGCTCCCTCTCTCTTCCACCTCACCTCTAAGACATTTAAACAATGGAGGTCAGGGTTTGTACTATGGGCTATCCACATAGTGTCTCCCTATCCACACCCCTGTTTCCCTTGCCGTTTGCCTTACAGAAATGAGTCACCACAGGGAACTTTATTATTCTCTGACTCACCTACTTCTCTACTCCTTTTTTTTTTCTCTCCAATAAACATTTATTCTGCCTTTAGGGATCTTTTATCTTACTGTCAAGAAAATCTGGCAACATATAGGACTTATTTTTTTTGCCTTCCTTTGATGAAACCTAAATTTCACTGAATGTGGCAGATATGGGTTTTAGCCTGTTTTCTTTAGAGTAACATTAGCTTCTGTAACAACTGACTGCACCTCCAAATTTCAATGGTTTAACATGTTATATATTAATTTCTCACTAGTGTAAGGGTACAGAGCTGATGTTCCTGGTCAGCAGGCAGATGCCATATGGTGAGTCAGAGGTCTGGGCTCCTTCTTTTTTGAGGGGGTCTTGGAGTATCCTGAATTCTACTAGAAGAAGGGCAAAGAGAGAGAGAGAGTAGAGAAAGTATATCCATCTCTTGATCATCTTGGCCGAAAAGCAACACAGATCATATCTGTTCACATTCCAGCTTTGAGAACTCGTCACACGGCTCAAGTAAATGTAAAGGAGAGGCTGAGAAATGTGGTCTCTGCCTAGGCAGTTGCTCCTTACCCACTCCTCTCTATTATGGAAAGACAGGAATGAACTGTGGTGAGCAGTTAATCATCTTAGCCCATAGCCAAGATAAAATATAACAGAAGATTCCATCAAAAGATTTTCATTCTTTTTGTTGCTTTCAGTGGGTTTCAGAGAAGAGAGTACAATAAACATCTTTTAATTTGTTTACCAGTGTGTCTTTCCCACCCATCTGTGATCTCCTCTAAATGGGGACCATGACCTAAATTGTTTTCTATTTTCCAGCACCCAGCATGATGGCTGACACAGAGCAGATGCTTAATAAATGTTTCTTGGATGAAAGAATGAATGCATTCCTGTCCTGAGTGGGTGAAAACTGCCTTTCCCACTTTCCTTATTCTCAATGTACTCTTCCTATCCCCTTTCCTCTCTCTGTAGGAGAAAGTTAAGAGGAGGAATTGTCACAATGGCTCCATTCTCTTTTCTCTGTTTCCCCTTCTTGTCATGGTTGGCTTAAAGCTTATGTCTCCTGTCACCAGCACTGATTTACCTCTCCCCAGAATGAAATTTCATTCAAGCTTTGCCTGTGGTGCAGCAGGCTTCTGGCTGCCAAACCGTTTAACAATGTCCCTCCTTGAAATAGGAACTCTTTTACACTGTTGGTGGGAGTGTAAATTAGTTCAACCATTGTGGAAGACAGTGTGGCGATTCCTCAAGGACCTAGAAATAGAAATTCCATTTGACCCAGCAATCCCATTACTGGGTATATATCCAAAGGATTATAAATCGTTCTATTATAAGGACACATGCACACGGATGTTCATTGCAGCACTGTTTACAATAGCAAAGACCTGGAACCAACCCAAATGCCCATCGATGATAGACTGGACAGGGAAAATGTGGCACATATACACCATGGAATATTATGCAGCCATCAAAAACGATGAGTTCATGTCCTTTGTAGGGACATGGATGAAGCTGGAAAGCCTCATTCTCAGCAAACTGACACAAGAGCAGAAGATCAAACACCACATGTTCTCATTCATAGGCGGGTGTTGAACAAAGAGAACACATGGACACAGGGAGGGGAGCACTACACACTTGGGTCTGTTGGGGGGAAATAGGGAAGGGACAGTGCGAGGTGGGGAGTTGGGGAGAGATAGCATGGGGAGAAATGCCAGATATAGGTGATGAGGAGGAAGGCAGCAAATCACACTGCCATGTGTGTACCTATGCAACAATCTTGCATGTTCTTCATATGTACCCCAAAACCTAAAATGCAATAAAATAAATTTTAAAAAAAACAACAACAATGTCCCTCCTTACAGCAAGGGGAAAGACACTGGGGGAAAAAATCTCTCTCTGTCCAGGGAACCATAACTTACTGGTGAGGACACCAGGTGCCCTATCACTCACGCTGGTGTTAAAAGTCATGATGTGGGACTAGGATGTGGATTGAACATGTATGAAGGAGCATGCTCAAGAAGAGACCCTCTCCTACTTTAAATGCCCTGATCTAAGTTGGCCACTCTATTAAGATCCACCTACACTGGCAAATTACTTTTCTAAAATAGACAGTCCTCAGGAAGAAACATCAACAGAAAAGGAACAGAATGGAGGAGCTCAGAGTGTGATCATTGGAATCCAACAGATTTGTGTTTAGATCCTACTTTGCCATTTACTGGCTGTATGACTTTGGACAGATTATGCAAGCAATTTGAGCTTCAGTTTCTTCATTTATAACACTGAGATAATTATATCTATCCTGCTGCGTTGTTATGAGGATCAATTGAGTTCAATTCTAGGCATGTAAGAGGCATTCAATATTTTTTCAATGAATAAATGTCAAATATACATAAAGTTCTTAACATAATGCCTGGCACATGATAAGCAATCCATATAGGATGGCTGTATCAGTAATGATAGGCTGGGTTGGCTAGGTTTACAAAAGTACCAAATTTCCCAAATCCCATAACTGATTGAGCATATAGAATTCTGCACCTCTTCACATTCCTCAGAAAAAATTCACATAGTAGATTCTACTGACAACTTCAAGGGGAAGTCTGAAGGGGTTGGACATCACATAACTGCATGAATCTCTACTGATGATGGTTTTTGTCCTCCGTTTCTTTGGCTGAGATGCTAACTAGAGCTTCTCTTTCACTCTTACCTTATCAGAATTGTGTTCAACATTCTGCCAACTTATATCTATCTACTCTATTCTCTACCTGTTCATCTCTGCCATAAAATCTCTTACCCTTTCTTTCACAGAACAATTCTTCCTTTCCCCAGGTATTTCAAACCCAAAAATGTGACAGTTTTTTTGTTTGTTTGTTTGTAGGACCTACCTCCTTAGAAGCTAGTGTTTTATAAATAATAATCCTTGTTTGTTTTTCTTCATCATTAGAACGTCTGTAAAGGGCCATGAAGGTGAATTATTAGTTCTGCTATCCTTAGTACCTAGCAAAGCTCCGGAATCATTTTAGGCAGTTAGTAAATGCAATTAGAAATACGCATTGTTATTGAAAGAATTTTAGAGCATCTATATACCCTTAATGTCACTCTTTGGTGGTGAACTGAGAGCTAACTGTAGGAAGTAAATATTATTTATCTTCTCTGTACTTGAAGAAGACATGGGACATTAATTCTGGCAAGTACTCAGTGACATGAGATGGAGGAGAGTAGATAATGTATTCCCGGATGGTGGGGTGACACATTGTCTTCATTTTATCTACACAAGGCTGTGAGTCCCCAGTAGGTCGTCCAGGTTGAAAATTAGAAAGCCAATAGGAGATTGACCAGAGACAAACATCTGGACTTACTCTCCACTGAACCAGACATTCAGCCTTGGCGCTAGACACTCTGAAACTTGGCTGGGCTTCCCACAGAGCTTGGCCCAGGGTCTCCAATGGCTCCATTGAGCTTGGCGGAGCACATTGACAGAGTTGGCCCAGAAAGGCTCCAGGACAACACCCAAACTCAGCAGCGGCCCCACCATGGGGTACTTGTTTTGGGGGCTTTACCTGATGGAGGGCAGGGCGTGGACAGGCCCTGGCATGTGGATTGAAGTTGGTTCTGACAACCCAGACCTCCACATGGGCCACTAGGTTCCCCTGAACCCTGCTGGGCTCAATTCAGGAGAAATGCTCTTGCCAATGGGCAGGGAGGTTTAGCATTCCACCCTTGCTCTTTTAATCCCCTCTGTGCAGGAATGTTCCACTGCAGAGACAGCAGAGCTTGCAGAGACAGGAGGTGGTGCCAAAAGGGAGAGAGTGGTGGAGAAACAATTTTGATGAGATTTAGGGTAGTGTGTGTGTGGGGTCAGGGGTAGGTGCTAAGTTAGGCTGTACCAGGGACTCACTGTGTGACCTTGGGCAAGTCACATTCCTTCTCAGGGCCGATTTGTTTACGTTCAAAAGATGAGGATAGACAAAAAAAAAAATGTAAGATTCATTTCTGGATAAAGCTGTAAAATTCTAAAATTCTGAAAGAGCTAAATGTTGTAAGATCTAACAGTTTTAATTGTAAAGTCCAAACTAAGATTCTGTTTTTAATCTACAGGGCCTCTCCTCTAGAGAGATTTGTATGCAAGCACATTTGCAGGAAACAGGGTGTCTGTCTTAATGGGAATATCAGAGTCAATTCTGAGTCCCCTCATCTCAATTCTAGAATTTTAAGCACCTTGAGGCAAGGTCTATGACTCATACTGCCCAGGACATAGAATTCCTCTGAATGTAATAAATAGAAGAGTACTTTGAGGTCATTGAATCCAATCTTCTTAGTTTTAGATGGGGTAATGGGACCAGAGAAGGGAAGTTGTTTTCTCAGTGTTATACAATGAATCTCAGGCCCAGAACTCAGGTTATCTGATCCCAGAACAAAGTTCTTTCCAACAATTGAAAATTTCTGCCTGAAATTTCATATAAGGTCTCTGAATTCCAAGGCTTTCAGATACTTCATCTTTTAAAATAGGCTTGACTCCTCCCTCCTTTGGGCAACTTTCAGGTTAACTCAGGGATTGACTATGGGGACTATGAGCGTCTTAAGCTCATATAAAGTCTGTGAAATTCCACAGGCTTAAGTATCCCTTTGGGAATCTTAGAGATTTTGCCCAAAATCTTAGAGATTTTGTCCATGCCTTGGACAGCAGCCTTCCTGGAAGGGATGTGGCCTCCTGTATAACTGGTCCCAACTCCAGCTCCAGGATAGGATCTCTGAGCTGGCATGACATGGCCCTATTGTAAACAAGGGAGGGTCATGACCCTCTACAAATGACTAACATGCTAATTTGAAAAGTTTGCCTGGACTAGAAAAACAAACAAGAACAATGAAATTTAAGGCAACTTTTTAGACAACCAGGAGGCAATGGGAAACTCAGAAACATGAAAGAAGGAGTCCCCAGCAGCCATTGTCTCTTTCATAAACACTCACTAAGCACCTGTCATGAGCCAACCAATGTGTCAGGCAACTTTGGAAGACACAAGAGGACAACACGTCAAGCCAGGCCTCTAAGACCTCACAGTTCTAGGGAATTAGACAAGCATTCATATGGCCAGTGCTTCTAGGGTGTAAATGAAAAATATCTTTAAACACCATGTAATATGAAGCAGCCTCAGTCTAGATTTCTTTATTGAACTTCAGACCAGCAGCCCGCCTAACATCAACCACTTGGATGTCTCGTAGGTAGCACATCTTTAAAACAGAACTCATGGTTTTTTGCCTCAATTTTCCACTGTTCTGTTAGAATAAATGACACCATCATTTACTCAGTTGCTCATTCCAGAAATGGGAATCATCCTTGATAACTACTTCTCCCTCATCAACCTCCTCATATTCACTCAATCAATCACTACGTCCTGTAAATTCTATTTATATTTCAAATATGCCCCATCTTAACTGCTGCTTCCCTGAAAGCAAGTCAACATAATTACTTTTCTCAACAGACTCGGAATTGGCCTTACAGAATCCACTGTTGTTTCCAATCTGTTCTCTGCAGAGTAATAATAAGACTGATTAACAACAACAACAACAACAAACCACACACACACACATAGTTGATTCAGTCACACTCTTGTTTAAAAAGCTTCAATGAGGACTTGTGATTCCATCCATGAATAATTAGCTGTTACAGAAACTGCCCTCCCACTGATGTAATTAGTTAGCTGCTCATCAGAACAAAATCCAGTGCTCTTGAAATACATACTACAAAATCCACCACCTAAGAACATAATCACAATACCCAGCATCCAATAAAAAACTACCAGGTATTTAAGAAAGCAGAAAAATATAACCCATAACCAGAAAAGAAGGGGTCCAGTTTCAATCTTTTGCATATGGTTAGCCAGTTATCTCAGCACCATTTATTGAATAGGGAGTCCTTGCTTGTTTTTGTTGACTTTGTCAAAGATCACATGGTTATAGGTGCATGACCTTACTTCTGGGCTCTTTATTTGGTTAAATTGGTCTATGTGCCTATTTTTGTACCAGTAACATGCTGTTTTGGTTACTGTAGCCTTGTAGTATAGTTTTAAGTCAGGTGGTGTGATGCCTCCTGCTTTGTTCTTTTGCTTAGAATTGCCTTGGCTATTCAGGCTCTTTTTTGGTTCCAGATAAATTTTACAATAGTTTTTTATAGTTCTGTGAAGAATGTCATTGGTGAATTGATAGGGATAGCATTGAATCTGAAAATTGCTTTAAGGAGTATGGCCATTTTAACAATATTGATTCTTCCAATCCATGACCATGGAATGTTTTTTCATTTTTTTGTGTCAGCTCTGATCTCTTTGAGCAGTGTTTTGTAGTTCTTACAGCAGAGATCTTTCACCTCCCTGATTAGCTGTATTCCTACGTATTTTATTCATTTTGCAGCAATTGTGAATGAGATTGTGTTCCTGATTTGGCTCTCAGCTTGGCTGCTGTAGGTGTATAGAAATGCTCGTAATATTTGTACATTTTTTTTTTGTATGCTCAAACTTTGTTGAAGTTGTTTATCAGGTTAAAGAGATTTTGGGCTGAGACCATGGGGATTTTCTAGATACAGCGTCATGTCATCAGCAAACAGGGATAGTTTGTCTTCCTCTCTTTCTATTTGGATGTGCTTTATCATTCTCTTGCCTGATTGTCTTGGCCAAGACTTCCAATATTACGTTAAATAGGAGTGGTGAGAGAGGGCATCCATGTCTTGGGCTGATTTCAAAGGGAACGTTTTCAGCTTTTGCCCATTCAGAATGATGTTAGCTGTGGGTTTGCCACAGATGGCTCTTATTATTCTGAGGCATGTTCTTTCAATATCTACATACTGAGGAACTTAAAATTGAATTGCAGAAAACAGTGAAACAAAGAGGAACTTTCAAAGCAGTCAGAAAAAAATACATCATAAGTACAGAGAAACAAAAAACAAGAATGACAGCAGACTTCTCATCAGAAACTATGCAGGCCAGAAGATAATGGGATGGTGTATTTAAAGTGTTGATGTACAAAATGCTAAAATTAGAATTCCACAGCCAGCAAAAATATCTTTGAACAATTAAGAAAAAAATGAAGACTTTTACACATCTATAAAAGCCAAGATAATTAACTATCAGCAGATTTGCCCTAAAAGCAGGAATCTTCAGGCAGAAGGGAGGAGACCAAAGTATAGAAAAAGGGACACCACAGCAAAGAGAGGGGGCAACTGAGGAGCAGATGGAGGACCTGAGAAGGGAGACTCAGAAAGAATTAATTTGCAGCACATTGACTTTAATCTAATTGATTGGGAGCCCTTTGGTGCTGAGGCTCCCTCTGCTCCCTTACCAGTCTCTTTCATATGTATCCCACAGTTGTCTTTTGCCTCTTTTCCAGTAGAGTCCTGAATCTTGTCCCAGGGCTGCTCCTTCTCCTTCTCTCTGTTTCTAAATTGCTCACCCCAACCCCACTCACTCTTCACTTTCTTCCCTGATCCCTGGCATTTCTTAGAGGGCTGGACATTTCTCTCTGCCTGCCTCCCTCCCCTCCCCAAGAGCGCATCTTCCTTCTGTTATCTCCTGTGTTAGCACACCCACATTTAAATGCTTGCTCACCCTTTAAGATGACCTCCTTCTATGACTTTTATTGTTTGCTGTCCTCCTTTCAGTAGTTTTTGAATTTTTCTCATGGGCATACATTGCTTCAATCATATTAATGATAAATAATAATGATGATATTGATAAAAACCCATGATGGGTAATGAGAGAATGCATAAAGACTCTCAGTGCCAGACTATCTCAAGTGATGCAAGCTTAGAGGATCCAGGAGCGGATGTGGACAAGTTTCCTAGCCTCCTTTGGAGCCAAGGGCACTTGCCACACAATGAATCAGGACTCATGTTAGTGTAAGTCAGAAAAACCCCAGGCCATATGGAGGAAACTTTAGTCATCTCTTTCACTCCTAGACCTCAACTTGTAGTCACTTGTGATTCTGAGAGGCATGGGCTTCAGCCTTTCTTCTCCCAAACACCCTTTGCTTGGATGCTCAGAATCTTCACCTCCTCCCCAGCCAACCATGCTGCAAGGCTTCCCTTTGCTCAGGGCCACTGCGAAAACACATCAGGTGCAGAGCGTTAGACAAATTGACCAGGGTTTACTTTTGGTTCTGCCTCTTAGTCATCTGTGTACCTCCAAGTAAGTAAACTTTATCTTCCTGGGACTTGATTCCCTTTCCTGTGAACTGGGAATAATCCACCTTTTGAGGCATCTGGGAGGCCCAAATGAGATAATAAGTGAGAGTAACCAGCATGAAATGTAAATATTTCTTCCTTTTCCTATCTGTGTCAATTACCTCCAAGTGATAATGGTTTGGCCTGCTGCCTCCTGATAGTCTTGTAGACAATGCCTTAAGCCCTGGTGCCACAGCAGGCCCAAGGGGAAGGGGCTTGGAGGCATTGTGTCTCATTTCCATAAGTGCTCCTGAGCTGTTCACTTCACCTGCCTAAGCCTTTGTCTTCTCAACTGTAAAATGGGCATCATTGTGCCCCTTCATAGGGCCAGTGTAAGAATTCAGAGAGAATTTTTGTGAAAACGCTTTGTAATTTGCCAGTGCTCTTCAGCATAGATGAGAAACTAAGACTTGGAGCCATTAGATGGTCTGCTCAGGATCTCTCCATCTATGACATTACAGCTTAGTATTCACATCTGAAAGCTGGATTATAAGGGCATATGAATAAGAGTCAATTACATATAATTGTTAATACTGTCTAGTAATAAGAAAAAAAAGCACTATCACTAATGGAGTGTGTGATCTGTGACAGGCAGTGGTGTGGCCAGGTTGGGGGGTGGTTGCAGTGCACGACAGGGATGATGGAAAGTATTTATTACTGGCATTGTTTAGAAACGATGGTGCATGGGGATAATACAAAGCAGCTCGGATTTTAGTCAGCTTTCTAATGGTTTTTAAATTATCTGCAGATAATGCAGCCCCTTTTTGCCTGCACTCCAGGCAGCCCATTCCCACCATGCTTGTAGTAGGCAGTTTCAGAGAGCTGCTTTCTCTAAGGCTCTGACAAGCCCATGTGGGAGGTGCACTTTTCTGCTCATTTACAAAAAAGGAAACTGAGGTCCAGTTGAAGACATTTTCCAAGGAAGACACCGTTTTAAAACTGTCATCCTCTCTCCCTGATGGGCTTAAATGTTCTCCAGAAAAGCCTCAAGGGCCAGGGTCCTCAATGAGCCCTTTGGGGACCCTACCGGGTGGCTTGGGGAGAGAGGTCTGCCCTGTTCACTTCACAGGAGCAGCTTGCCTGAGGCAGGAACGCTGGGGTCCCCCTCTGGTCTTTACCATGCTTGCTTCCCTCTCCTCACCTTTACACCTTCTTCCAAGAGAAGGGCACCCAGAACTCAATGCAGCCAGGGAGCACACCTTAAAAACCTTTGAAAAAGAGCAAGATGCATGTGCTGTTGGTAAGTAGCTCAATTACCACTCACAGGGCCCTTGAGCCAGCCATTTCCTGGTGTGGGAAGCGTGATAGGCTGCACAGCCCAGATGGAGCTGCTTTGGGGGCTATGCATGGGTCTGGCATGGAAGAGAGAAGCACCTGGACCCTGCAGGACAGTGACGGGAAGTGGGGCCAGCTCCTGTCTTGCAGCAGCAAGCAGAGTCTAAGAGCATAGAGGAGCTGAGGTCCCAGGGCAGCGTGGCTCTGGCCGCACTGTGGTTGGGGCCAACAGGCCTTCTGGAAATATCCCAGCTGTGGCTTTGTTCTGTGCCCTGGAGAAAATGACCTCTTGGAGGCCCTTCCAGGATGAGACAGACAACAATTTTCTGGATAATTCAGGCTCCAAATCTCTCTCTGCCTTCATTCCAATTATTCAGGGTTATTGTGGGAATTCTGAGGAACAACTTGAACTGCATTAAACCAAGAATAGGAACCAATGGCTCAAATGGCTGAATCTAGCACAAAACCCAAATATTAATTTTCTATAAACGTAATACAACTGGAATCAAAGTTGTTTTTGTTTTTAAACAAAACCAAACCCAAGTGGATCGGTTGGAACTTGCATCAAAACTCTCTGTGTCCTAAAATTAACAAACCAGAACAAAGTTGGAAAATAGAAACTTTTTTGAGTGAAAACACCATTTCATTAGGTTTGTTGAACCAGGATTTTTTAATGCCCCTTTAAAAGACGGAAAAAAACTTCCAAATGTGAACGTAATAATCTCAGTACAAAATATTCAGAAAAACCCAAACAGTTTAAAAAGAATGTCACCTCTAATCCCAACAGTGGGATATTTCCAAAGCTTTTTCTTTTTTCTTTTTTTCCCCCAACTCTTTTCAATGCATATTTTCTCTTTCTTTTCTTTTTACATAAATGTGATTGTTCTATATGGGTTATCTTATCTTCTTTTTTTAATTAAGACCACCTCACGGAAAAATTCCCTATCAATATCTAGAAAGCCAAGTTATTATTCTTCATTTTTGAAAAGTATTCCATTGGACATATGCTGGTTTATTTCACTGATCGAATTACTCTATGAGTATTTAGGTTACTTCCATTATTTTACTTTTACAACTAATACTTCAGTGAATGGCTTTTCGTATATATCTTCATACCCTGGACTGATTATTTTGGATACATTACCCCCAAAAAAGTGTTTCTAAGTCAAAGAATGTATATATATATATACATATATATATACACATATATATGTATATATATATATGTGTATATATACATATATATATACACATACACTTTTCATACATATTTCCAGCTATCCCTATCCCCTGATATGGTTTAGATCTGTATCTCTGCCCAAATCTCATGTGAAATGTAATCCCCAGTGTTCTAGGTGGGGCCAGCTATGAGGTGACTGGATCATGGAAGTGGTTCCTCATGGTTTGATACCATCCACCTTGGAGCTGTCATCAAGAGAGTGAGTTCTCATAAGATCTGGTTGTTTAAAAGTGTGTAGCACTTCCTCCTCTCTGTCTTCCTCCTGTTCTGGCCATGTGAGACATCTGGCTTCTGCTTTGCCTTCTGCCATGATTTTAAGTTTCCTGAGGCCTCCCCAGAAACCAAGCAGATGCCAGCATCATGCTTCCTGTACAGCCTGTAGAATCATGAGTCAACTAAACCTCTTTTATTTAAAAATTACCCCATCTCAGGTATTTCTTTATAATAATGCAAGAATGAACTAATACATGCCCCTCATGAAAGATCATAACAATTTTCACTCCCACTATCAGCAGATGCACATCCCCATTTCTCTACACCCTGGCTAACAGTGACATGCCAGAGAAGTCACTCTACTTCTCCTTCCACACCTCCAAAGGGAGCAGTCCAACCCATAGCTATAGGGCGACCAATTGTCCCTGTTTGCCCAAGACTGAGGTAGGTCTTTGGACACGGGAATTTCAGTTTTCAAACCAGGAAACTCCTGGGCAAACTGGGATGACTTGGTCACGCTACATAGCCCATGACAGCCTGTGCCTCCATCCAGACTTGAGTATATGTCCTAGCAAACAGATATCCCAGGAAGCACCAAATCTGCATCAACATTAAAGGAAACCATGCCACAGAAAATAAAATGCTACTGGACAAATCCCCTTGGAGTGACCTTCCCAGTAACCCAGTTATGTGTGACTGTGATGAACATAAGGAACACAAAAGGAGCCACGTGGCTTGATTCTGTATGCAGCTCAGGACAATGGTCTCTTTGCAAGGAAGAACACCTTCTCCTGACAGCTGGGTGGCCAGGATTTTATGAGTGCACTTGCTCCAATGCTGAGTTTTGCCTCAACTTATTGAGCCAGGAGTGGATATCTGGCCCCAGGATGTCTAATGACTTCATATGGGGAGATGATTTGAACCAGTTGGATTTATTCTCTTGGGAATTTGTTTTGGGAACAAGAAAATAATTTCTCAGTTAACAGTGAGAAATAGGTCTGAAGGGTCATTAACTAAAGGGTGACCAAAAAGGTTTAAACACCAGCCAAAGCAATGGGGAAGAGGAAACTAAGGGTAAAGAAGAGGAGCTGTTTCTAAGTAAGAGACAGAGAGAGGGGCAAGCAGAGTAATTCTGTTGTTTTTATGGAGAAGAAAGATTCCTCAGTGTTCCTGCACATCCCAAGGCTCTCTTGTTGTCCTTCTCCAGATTGCTGTGCACTGTCCTCAAAATAAATGCCTATGCCTCTTCCTGCTCATCAACTTGCTACCCCTGGAATAAATCTCAATTCCTTGCAAGTCAAGAGGTCTATTCAACACTCCTGGGTATCACCCATCATTTCCACCCTTGGCAACCAAACTGATTGACCAAAATAGACTTCTTATCTAGTTTTGTTAG